ACTGCCAGCTCCCTGACCCCCTGAGCCGCCCACTGGGGAGGCCTCGCTGGGCAGGTCTATGACCCAGGCCTCCCCTGCCCCGGCCCTCACTTGGCGTTGGCTTTGTGCTGGGCCACGGCCATCTTCGTGGGCATCAGGAAGAGGACGTCAGTCTCAAAGTCCACCACTGTCTTCTTCTTGGCCTCCTGGGAGGAGTCCTCGGCCCAGGACGCCGTGTAGAGGTCAAAGGTGGCATTGGCACCTCTGGACCCCTTGGCAAAGGTGAGCCCGCTGACCAGCTTGAAGAAGTCCTCCCTGCAGGGATCAAGCCGGCACTGGACCCTGGACCTGGGGCCATCCTCACCCCCACCCCAGGGGCCTGCAGATGGCCCGCTTCACCTGTCGGCCTCCTCCCTCAGCGGATGCCTCCCCAAGAGGCCCTCATCACCGCCCTGACCCTGCACCCTACTCACCCTGTGACAGTCTGCTTGTCCTTGTTGATGGCCGGCATGTCAATGCTGGTAAAGATGTGGCCGTCCATGTCGTTGGTGCCAGCGATGTAGTCGATGTCGGCCGCGTTGGTGAAAAGGTTGATGGGGTCGTCAGGGATGAAGTCTCCGTCCACGACGGGGAGGAAGCCCAGGTAGTGCAGCATGGGGTCTGCATGGACGGCAGCGGGGGTGCAGGGGGCAGTGAGCGAGTGAGTGATGCAGGGGAGTGATCAGTCCTCTAGTGCAAAGGTGCTCGGTCTGGTGCTTAAAATTGGGTGCAAATGACTATGTGGCATTGCTGGCAGTCGCCCAAATGTGCCTCAGTTTCCCAAAGGCGTCAGGACCCAGGGAGGATAAGGGGGAGGATGGCGCTCTCTGCACAGGGCCAGCCCTCCGACCCGGCGCTTCCTCGCTCCTTGAAAGCATGGCCGTGCCCCCATGTGGAGCCCCCACTCACACTCCATGCCCGCCAGGGGCATCTTATAGGCCAGCGTCAGGGCCCGGGGGTCGGTGACCTTCAGACACTTGGCCATCCTGGCGGCATCGTCCAGGGGGCAGCCCACCTTCTTGGCGATCTGGGAGGTCGGGGGAGACAGGTAGGTGAGGCCAGTGCAGGGCAGAGGGGGATGGGGTCCAGGACAGGGCATGGACAGGAGGTAACCCTCCCACCTCCCCCACCGCAGGTCCCATTTACCTGCTTAGCCCAGAACAGAGGGTTCTTCTGGATGGCCCAGGGGGTCAGTGCCACACCGCTCTGGCTGATGGCTCGCCGGACGAGGCCCTTGTTGTAGGGAGTGAGGGTCTACGACACACAGAGGTCCTGTCACCATGGCCTCGCCTCTCCTGCCCACCCGGGCACCACCAGGGACAGCCAGACTGTCAGCTTCATGCTGTTCCCCACAGCCCCCATCAGATCCCCCTGCAGAGAGACGCTGACACTTCCAGATGATTGCCCAAAGATGGTGATGTTGTCGGGGTCCCCCCCAAAGGCCGCAATGTTCCTCTTCACCCCCGCGATGGCCATGTGCTGGTCCCAAAGACCGTAGTTACCTGGGGCGGATGGGGGAGCCCATCAGGACCGGGGTGGGGGGAGAGAGTCCTCCATGTGGAGGCCCCTGTCAAGCCCCAGGATGGCACAGGGCAGGTCCCAGGAGGCTGTTGAATGAGGTGCTGGAGGGGGCATGGGGCTCAGGTAGGGGACCAGGTGCAGGTGGGCCAGGCTGCTCATCTCTCTCCCTGACACGGTCCCTCTTGTTGTCTGTCTGTCCTACGACTCTGTGTCCCCTGAGTCACCACCTCAGTGTCTCATCTTCTGTCTCTCCCTGGGTCCCTGTCCCTGCTCCCTGGTCTCCCTGTTCCCTGCTTGGATGACTGGCAGCCTCTTCGCTTGCTACAGCTGCCGATGGACTCCTGTGTCTCACTGTCCATCCCCAGCTTCCTGATTCTGGGAATAGAATCCTGGGACTTTCCAGGGGCTGTCAGGAGTTGATTGGGATTGAGGGGTGCTGAAGGGCCCCTGCCAGGCTCCCCCATTTCCAGCCCAAGGCACCCAGCACACCTGGCAGGTTGGCGTCCCCAGTGCTGAGGAAGCCTAGGGGCCCGACGCGGTAGTTGAAGGTGACGACGATGACGTTGCCCCGCGTGGCAATCTCCTCCCCGTCGTACAGGTAGTTTTTAAGGACATTAGCCCCTTGGCCAGAACCCATGAGGAAGGCTCCTCCGTAGATCCAGATCATGACAGGCAGGTTCCGGGAAACTGAGGCAGGAAATGAGCCCGGTGACCCCAGCTGCCCCCTCCCCATCCCCTCTGGGTGCTTGTTTCAGGGAATTTCAGCTCTGGAGCCCACACACAGCCAAGGGGCTGGGCAGGGCTGGGCCTCTGGCTGCCTGGGCACTTTCTGCAGGTTTGGGGAGCTGGAGGGCACGGGGTGGGGGGATGTACCTTCCTTCTTGCCCTGGGGGACCCAGATGTTGAGGTAGAGGCAGTCCTCAGAGCCATAGGTGTTGTCCTGGGTGATAGTGGCTTGCAGGCATCGCTTCTTGAAGTCCTTGGCCTTCAGGGTTCCTGTGGGTGACCAGGGGGCCTGGCATGAGGATGGTGGCCTGTGGGGACCCTATTCAGAGTACGCCGGATATTCCAGGCCACTCTGCATGAGGGAATCTTAATCAGGGTATCCAAGGACTATACACAAGTGCAAGGTCACTGTAATCTCTGTGTGTGTGCGCAAGCATGCCCTTCCATAACCCAAAAGACTGGCAAAAAGCCTCTTTTGTTTGAGTAGGATAAAGTTGTTACTGGCCAGCAGGCGCGGCTGCTCGGTGAGGCTGTAGTGCTAAGGATGGCTTCTGGATAACTAGCTCCTATGCAGGAGGCTATGCTTGGAGGGGAAGATAGATTGTTGCCCAGCCGGTGTGCAGCTACCTGCTGTGTGGGACTTTGCTTTGAAGAATTATTTTGTCTAATGGCTCCTTGTTAGCAATGGCCATTAGCTTGACAGTAAAGATTCTCTCATACACACACAGCTTCTCATGGCTTCTCCGTCTACCACCTGAGGTCCAATTAGGTCCAGCCCCTGGCAGAGGGGCTCGGACTGACAGTTGGCAAAGTGGAGCAGAGGATAAAGGAGGAACGGAGTTCCCAACAGGGAGTACAGCGAGCAGGGTTCAAGGAGGACCTGGCTCTGGCACCTGGCACCGGGAGGAGGATTCAGAGGTATGAGCGGCTATGGAGCGGCTGCTCCCACACCTGGCATAGTCGCCAGGATGGAGCAGTGAGTCCTCTCTGACATGCCCCCCCTGCCACCCCAGGCACAGGACAGCCCAGCGCCCCCCTCAACTCCCACCTTGCCAGCCAGGGTGCCGCTGGGGGTTCTCCAGGGCCTTGGGCGGGGCGGCGAAGGGGATGCCCTTGAAGACGTCCACAGAGTTGCCGCCGAAGAGGCCGAGCTTCTTGTTGACGCCCTCCACGAAGCCCCCTTCCGTGTACACTGCGCCCAGCTGGGGAGAGGGCCAGGCTGAGGGGCGCAGGCTGGGTGGCCAGCGGGGTGGGGCCACCCCAGCAGGTTCCAGGGGCCCAGACACAGCTCCAAGGAGAGGCTGACCTGCACCTGAGACCAGGACCCCCGCCTGCCCACGTTACTGAGGAGCCGCTTGCTGCCTGCCGCTGCCCCTGCCCCCGGGATGCCCTGCCCCTGAACCTCAGAGGAGTCTGCTTTAACAGGTGGGCATGTTTCTGCTCAGGGAAGCCTTCCCACAAGGCTGCAAGAGGCGGGGGGAGGTTTGGATTCTGGCCTCGCTGTGGCCATGAGCCTCAGTTTCCCTGTCTGTAAGAAGGGTGACCGCAGTGTGTCCTGCTTGGCCTGGGACCTTGTCCAGCTGTCGGCAGTGGTAGCCGTTCGTGAGCACTGAACGCTTCATGCCCAGCTGTGAGCTCCCTGAGGGCGGCCTTTCTTCTCCTCCCCTTGCCCCCACCCTGTCCTGTGAGCCTGTGCTCCCTCCCAGGCCATCGGAGCCTCTGCTGTGTGCCCGCGGGGGCCACCGTCCCCATCCGCCCAGGGCCTGGGCCCGGCGCTCATCCACCTGCCCCTGGAGGGAACAGCTTTCCTGCTTGAAGTTGCCCTGCTGGGGCGGCTGTGTGACCAGAGCCAGGCTTCTCCCCTCACGCTGCCCCAGGTGGTGGTGGCAGGTGGCAGCTTCCCAGCTCTCCCCTGTGCTAGGTTCCAGGTGCGCAAGGGCGGGGCAGCCTGCACCCCAGGCCCAGGCCCAGATGGGGTGGGAGGGGGCGGCTGGAATTGAAGAGGAGGGGTCAGGTGCTTTGGGCTGGGGCTGGGGCCCCGAGGCAGGTGTCGGCCGGGGTCTCTCTCTCTCTCTCTCTCTCTCTCTCTCTCTCTTCCTCATCCCAGGATAAGCCTCCAGTGGCCAGGCCTCCAGGCATTTTTCCTGACCAGCCTCCCTGGCTGCTGGGAAGGGGCAGAGGACCAGGTCTGCCTGGGGAACTGGGTCACCTCACATACGTGTCTCTGTGTGATGGAGGTCGGCCTGAGGTCCCCAGAAGGGAGGGCCAAGGGCATAGGGGCTCTGGCCCTGCAGGCAGTATGTGTGTGTTTGGTGTGTGTGTGTGTTGGGGAGGGGGGACGTTAAGGGTGTGGAGGGGTAAGGTGGTGCTGGCTGCTGGAGCCGCGTGGAAATAACCCAGTTCCTTCAGCCTCCAGAAAAGACTCCCCCAAAGAAAGAGAGGGGCCTCTCCATGGCAGAGGGCCCAGGGCCAGTCTCTGAACTTCCGGGGGCCAAAGGTAGGTCCCAGGGGCAGCAGGGTGAGGGAGCAGGGTGAGGGGTGGAGGGACAGCAGCATGGTGGAGCGTGGGGTCCCCTAGTCACGCCCGCCTGTAGCTGTGGGTTCCTGTGGAAGCCCCGCTACTCATCCCGTGGCAGGGCCATGAGGAAGGAGACCCTGTAGATGCCCTGAGGCTCCTGAGTGACCCTGGAGGGGCCCTGGCCACTGGCAAGCAGGTGGGTGTCGCCCTCTCGGGGGCCGGGCTCCGGGCTGAACTAGACCGAGGTCCAGACTCCTGTTCCGATGCTGGGGGCTGTGATGGGCAACCTGCTGGCCTGCTCAGGGCCCAGCTCCCTTCTGTGCGGGGCCATGGCCATCCCCGGACAGAGGAACACCCTGAGGGCCCTGGTGGCCAAGGTGGACTCCGCAAATCAGCACTGAGGATGCCAGTGACCCTGGGGTTTTGTTTGTGTTTGGCGTCAGTCACCCTGTGTGCCCAGAGAGCGCCTGTACCAGAACTTATTCGTGGTTTCTGACGTTCAAGTTCGCGGGCGTCCTGTATTTGAGCTGCATCTGGACCATCGTGTGAGACAGGGGCCCTCCTCGCCCGCTGGGCTCTCGCTTACCTTTGCGGCGCTCACTACTGCCAAGCAGCAGGCGAGGCCTAAGACAGCCAGCTCCAGGCGCCCCATGGTGCGTGTGCCTTCCTGGGGGGCCCTGCCTCTGCGCGTGGGTATTTATGGGGCGGGAGCCAGCCTGTGGAGGGTCCCCTTTCCCTCCTCCGACCTCTGCCCCTTCCTGCAGGCTGGCCATACTCCAGGTGGTATACGTGGGACCAGCACAGCTGTCGTTTCCAGCCTGGCGCGGGCTGGACCAAGGTCAGGCAGGTATGCGTGCACACACACACGCACGTACACACACACACACACACACACACACATATGTGCATGGGTGCAGGGATGGTCGGCCTTTCCCAGGAGCCGCTGTTACCGGGAGCTGGTGCCCTCAGAGCACCTGTGAAGGTTACTGGGAATAGAGGCAGGTGGCATAGGGCAGGCCCTGTCCCCAACACCACATGGACACAGGTCAGAATGTCTGCCTGCTGATCCAGTCCCCAGGTCTCCTGGGATGCAGGTGGGAGGGGGCTCCACAGTGGGAAGAAGGAGCCGGGCAGGCTGGGCCTGTGGGTGAGGACCGGGCAGCAAAGGGTTTGAGGGTGCGTTTGTTAAGTGCCCATGGTAGATGAGTGGATAAAAGCTGCGGTACATTCACACCGTGGATTACTATGCGGCTGTAAAAAGGAAGGAACTCTTACCCGCTGAGACAGCCTGGAGCGACCTGGAGACTGTTATGCTGAGTGAAGTGAGCCAGTGGGAGAAAGACAAGTGTCACATGATCTCACTCATGTGGAATCTAATGAACCAAATAAACTGACGAATAAAACAGATCCATCGACATGGAAGCATGGAACAGACGGACAGATCCCGGAGTGGAGGTGGAGGGAGGGCGGGAAGAGATTAATCAAGAACTAATAGGCATATATTCATAGACAATAGACAGGGGAGAGGCTGGGCTGGGTTGGGAGCTGAGTGGAGAGGGGCAGAGGGGAAATGGTAGGCATCTGTAATACTCTCAACAATAAATTTAAAAAGAAAATACGCTCGGCCGGCATGGCTCAGAGGTTGAACATCCACCTATGAACCAGGAGGTCAGGGTTCGATTCCCGGTCAGGGCACAGGCCCGAGTTGTGGGTTCGGATCCCCAGTAGGGGGTGTACAGGAGGCAGCTGATCCATGATTCTCTCTCATCACTGATGTTTCTATCCCTCTCTCCCTCTCCCTTCTTCTCTGAAATCAACAGAAATATATATTTAAAAAATAATCAATAAAATCGTTCAGCTGGCGTGGCTCAGTAGTTGAGCGTGGTCGTCGCATGCACCGATAGGTTGCCGGTTTGATTCCCTGTCAGGGCGTGTGAGATCTTCATTTTTAAGAAATTAAAAAATTCGTTAAAGGTCATTCTGAATGGGGGACGGGGACTTGTGTGCTGAAGCATGTTCTGGGCAGTGTTGTTTGTCGTCAAGGAGGAAGGCAAGCGGCTGCGCCATATGTTTTAATGACGGGGGTGGTTGCTCACGTCGCATGTGTACATGCGCTTGCACAGGGTCGGTCACAGATGTGAGTGAGCTTGCCTGGAAGCGTCCGGAAGAGGCAAACGGCCCCACAATGAGACGCCCCTTGGGCTCCATAGCAAGTGGAGTGCTTCCTGCTCATCTCGCTTTAGGGGCTGACGTTAGGGGCATGCGTTCCACAGAGAAGATCTGGCCAATGTTTGAAGTCCGGCAAAGATGCTCTCCCTGCCCGCACTCCACGGGCCCCCGAGGCTTTTCCAGCCGGGCGTCCCGGTGCCGCCGGCTCATCGTCGCCTGCAGGGTGGCTGCAGCTGAGTCCCACCTCCCAGTCGGATCACCCTCCGCACCCTCTCAGCTCCTCGGCCGCCACTGACCCTGGGGCTGTGGTCCCTGCGGTGTCTTCACCCGGAACCTGTTGGCCGGATGGCCTTACCGTCAGCCCGATGAGGAATTTCCCACCCACGGCCGCCCCGCTCCTTGGCTGTAGCGCCCACTTGCCCACATCTACACGGAGGTCTCTTCCCCCGCTGCATTAGTCCTGATTAAAATCTGGTTTTGCCGCTTTAACTACTGCCCTGCTCTGGTTTTTCTTGATGGTGCCGTGACTCAGCTAAGGTCGGATTCATGGCTGGACTCCCGGACCTCTCACACCACAGCCCACGTGTACACCCCTGAAGACTCGGCGCTCGCTCCCGTCTGATCAGAGATCCATTGGTGAGCCAACTCCTGAGCCATGGCTCCGGGTGACAGTCCACTGAAGCGTGGTAAGGACAGATCTCAGTTCTTAACACGCTGCCGACCAGTAGGTTTTATATTTTTACTGATTTCAGAGAGAAAGGAAGAGGGAGGGAAACATCAATGATGAGAATCATTTATTAGCCCCCCTCTGCATGCCCCCCCCCCCCACTGGGGATCAGGCCCACAACCTGGGCATGTGCCCTTGACTGGAATCAAACCCAGGACCCTTCAGTTCACAGGCTGATGCTCTATCCACTGAGCCAAACTGCTAGGACAACGGACCAGTAGTTTTATTGCTAGCTTTGAGTACAAAAAACATTTTATATAGTTAAAGGCACACTTTAAAATTAAATACCCATTGTATTTTGAAGTTATTTATTACATGTTGTTACAAGCTACTATCTTTTTAAAGTGTGACAGTTTGTAAAACGCCGTGTGATATGGAAACGCCCGCAATGTGTTGATTCTGCTGTGGAGTCCACGGTCAGCAGAGGTTTCTCTTCTTTATTTTGTTTTGTTAATCCTCACCCGAGGATATTTTTCCACCGACGTTTAGAGAGAACAGAAGGAAGTGGGAGAGACAGAGGGAAACATCGATGTGAGAGAGGAAGATCCATTGGTTGCCTCCCTACGCACCCCAACTGGGGCTGGGGATCGAGCCTGCAACCAAGGTACGTGCCTTTGACTGGAGTCAAACCCGGGACCCTTCAGTCTGAGGGCCAACACTCCATCCACTGCGCCAAACTGGCGAGGGCCCAGGTTTCCTTAAGAAACTTAGCTGAACTCCCAGGTCAACAGAGGCTGGCTTAGGGCCCAGGTCAACCAAGGCTGGCTTAGGGCCCAGGTCAACCGAGGCTGGGTTAGGGCCCCAAGTTTCCCTGGAAGAAGCTGGGTTGGAGTCTTAAGCTTCTCTCTGTAAGAGGCTAGTCCCCATGTCAGAGCCCTGCTGTTCTCTACTTTGTAGTGTAAAGGTGCTATTAGTTAACATGGGAGCGTCTCATTGACAGAAAACCCTTCTCAAACCCCTGCTGACTGCGCGTATGGGTGGGTTTGCATGTTTTTGTGCGAAGATTGCATGGCTATTGTTGGGTGCTTGGAGGGGCTATGGGTTCCCAGTCTGTGTGCTAACCTGGGTAATTAGGCTGGAGGTATCTGGTTCTGAACTGATAGGCTGACCTAGTAAGAAACTCACCCGCCTGACCTAATGGCACACAGAACTTCAGCAAATCCTTAGAATAATTTTCCCTGATGGCGCACATTCTGTGCCGGCAGACCCGTCTGTGCTGACCTCACAGCAGGCAGACACTGCCACTCAGCCAGACACAGGTCCACCCTGGCGCTGCCGCCGACAGCGTGTGGCCGGAGAGGGGTCTTCACCTCACAGGTGGGTGTGTAACCTCCCAAGAGTGGCCTCCGGTCGCCCGTGTCCTTTGACACACCCTCCGGTCCTCCCTGCCTTCCTGCTTCCCGCTACCCTTCCTTGGTGTGGGCACCAGGGGGTAGGTGCTTGTTGCACCCCTCGTCTCCACTGGCCATTGCCGGGCTGCCAGGTCATTATTCGGAAGGCCCTGCGGTGGGGCAGGGCACCCGTCGGGGCATCTGAGAAGCAACCCTTCCCGAACCCACGGCACGGCAGCCCCTAAGGGAGCCTTACACCCACACGATCAGTGGCTGTTAAATATGTGACAAAAGGCCCAGGGGCAGGGGCGGAGGAGGGAGATAGCAGCTGAGCCTGCCGGTCAAGGCTCACTCACCGGAGGGGCTGCACAGGGGGTGCCTCCTGGCAGGACGGGGTGCTGCCCAGGAAGCGGTCTTGAACATGAACTACCACTAAACTGTCAGTATTTCTGTGGGTATTTGATATTTTCCACCATAAAAAAGCTTTTCCAAAAATGGGGTATGAGAATCAGGTTTCCGAGTGAGGCGTCACCAGATACTTGTAAGTGTGGCAGGACCTGGGAGCCCCTCGGTGCGGCCCCTGCCCAGCTGCCTTCCTCAGGCTGGCACAGGGGCCAGCTGCTCCCGGGAGGTGGGGACCAGAGCCTAGACCAGGGGTGGGCAAACTTGTGGACTCGAGGGCCACCATGGGTTCTTAAACTGGACCGGAGGGCCGGAACAAAAGCATGGATGGAGTGTTTGTGTGAACTAATATAAATCCAAAGTAAACATCATTACATAAAAGGGTACGGTCTTTTTTTTTTTAGTTTTATTCATTTCACACGGGCGGATCCGGCCCACGGGCCGTAGTTTGCCCACGGCTGGCCCAGCCCTCTCCCTCTGAGGACGGGGGGTTCGTAGCCCAGCTCAGAGTGGGAGCCCTAGTGGAGACCCACAGTGGAGAGCAGAGGCCCCGAGAAGCACATGGGGTGGGATGGGGAGGGGGCGTGGGCCTGGGCCCAGCCTGCCTCTGGGGAGAGCTGCTCCTGCAAGTGCTGGCTGTGCCGTGCCCAGCAGCAGGGAGCGGGGCCATCGGGCGGCCAGCTTGCCCAGCTTCTCTACAGGCAGGTTCCAGGATGGAGCCCTGGGCCCCGTCTGTCCTGGAGGCTCCCCAGGACCCTGCCCTTTCACTCCGGCAGCCATGGGACCGGGGCCTGTCTCCTGGAGGCCTCTGGAGCAGTGAGGGATGAACGCACACTAGGCTGTGGGACCCTCCGGGGAGGGCCCCTCACCCACCCACCTGGCGAGGGCATCAGGCCTGTGCTCAGCTGTCCCAGCACCGCCCCCCGAGGCCACAGAGGAACAGCGATGGTCCAGCAGCCCATGTTCCTCCCCTCCCCCCCAACCAGCAGGGGCTCTGAGCCACTCTCATATCACGTCTCCTGGGGAAAGGTATTTAATGCGGACAATGCCAGCTGGGC